TTATATTTCCTGTACGTGCTCTTGTCGTCCTTTTCGGCGCAGTTAAGCCAACATGTTGGTCTCAGGCTTTCCGCATCACTTGGTGAAGCGACCCAAGACGATCAATATATCACTGAAGCTCTTCAGTCTCTCAACTTCATTAACTCCCACTTAAACATCGTCACAAAGTACGGCTTCAATCAGGTCAACAAGATCAATCTCCGTGAAGGGCGACCCAAATGCGTGTATTCAGCGCGCAGAATCACAAGCTCCACAAAACTCTTTCAATGAGTCGTCGATTGGCATGCTTCTGGAGGGAATATGCCGCCTCCCAAATGCGAACGCGACTTTGTACGTCTTATTTCCATTCGCATAACTTTGATTGACTGTAAATTTGTATTCTAGATTTGAACAAGTTGTAGAGAGTATATTCAAGTTGACTCTGGGAACCTGGCCAAGCCCCACCGGTGTCGTACCAAACGTACCCAGTGAGTCTTGGGGCTTGTCTTATTCCTTGCATACACCTACATTGCATGACAGTGAACAACGGTGGCGAATATGGCGGGGGAATGTACCTCGTTCGTGGATTGTCCGAGGCATATAGGCGAGTAAAAGCTCAAAGTATGCCATTGCGCTCCGACTTGGTGCAGTTTGTTAAAACATTTCTCGGGGTCCAGGTACGGGTTGAGTCCATCCTAACCTCTAGTTCAGCGATGTCTAATTACGAACTAGTACAATGCCGTTCGTGGACAAAACCCTGGGGGAAGCAATGTCTACGGTTCTTCATGGCTCGGGGTGCCTACATCTTCCTTCGATCCTGCTGGACAGGCTGCTGCGGCTCAGGTGCTCATCGATGGAATTGAGGTGTTTGCAACCAATGATTCCGGAATGAGTGACCCCACATCTCCATCCCCGCCTTCAAAGTCAAAGCAAATCGGTGCAATCATCGGTGGTGTAGTTGGTGGTGTCGTTGTTCTCCTGATACTTGGATTGCTATGGCTCCTCTTCGCCCGCCGTCGACGACGAAAATACGAGGAACGAGAAAAGCCCCCTGTAGACTTGCACTACGACCTTGATCCCAGCTACGAGGTGACTCCTTTCATGTCACAGACGGTCACACAGATTACGCCCAGTTCCAAATCTCTCCATAATGATAAGAGTCACACCTCGTCATCTCCACAGCACAAGATCAGGCCTGTACGGGTAGCCGAAGGTGCTGATCATTCTCCTTCCCCTCCAGAGCAACCCCAGTCAGTCTCAGCGGATACGGAATCACCTCAAGCGTCTCGCACGAGGACAGAACATACGGTAACACTGGACGGCGTACCTTCACAGGAAGTAGCAGAGATGGTACGGGCGCTGTATCATAGGATGTGGCGACCAGATCGGAATGAACGTCCGCCTGCATACGAACAGGACCATAATCAGGCGAAATGAATTCGAATATTTGGTAGTCGTAGATATACCCAAAGTTTACTGTACATTCGTGTCCATATATACCACTAACAATCACTACACCATCTCTAGTGGCTTCTCGTCAGATCTCTGCAGTGCCCAGTCGCCCATTTTCAACATATGTAACCGAGCAATCTTTGCTCGAATTGCTGACTCTTCAGGTGAAGGTCGTCCGGTCGTTCGAGGAAGTCTGATCATTTGTGCTTCAAGGGACAGTATCACTTCCTCTATCTCCATCTGTCTGTCCGTTCTTGCTCTGGGTCTCTCTGTTTCCACTGTGACAGCAGTTTCAGTGTAAGAAGGTGCTGAGGAGATACTACTGGGAGACCGAATGGGACTGTAGAGGACCTCAGATTTTGCTGGCGCGATGGGAGCCACGATCATACGCTCCCTGTCAAAGTGACCAGAACGAAGTGTAGATGTCGATAGGCGATGTTTCCTTCGGCGACGGACGAGCATAATGAGGAAGACCATAAAGGTAATGAGGGCGGCACCACCAACTGTACTGCCGATGATCATGCTGGTCCCGGAGGCGGATTGTGTGCTGCCACTCGGATCTGTTTCAGCAGGAGACTGGACACTTTGCTGGGTGGTAGTGGTGCAAGTGGTGCTAGTGGAATGTGCGTTTGTAATTCTTGTATTAGACATCCCCGAGCCTGTCGATTGGGATTCACTCGGGCTCCTGCAGTTGGAAAGATGGCCGGAACTACACTCAATGGATATTCCGTACCCTGATGTAGGGCTTGCTTGCGCAACCACCATCTTTGGGTAGGTGTAAATCGTTAAAGATCTAGAGAAATTAAGCTCCTGAGACGAGGAGAACTACATGGACGCACGTTGTCCCATCGCTATCTGTCTGTACTGCATACAGTTCGAAAGTCCTACGATAAGAAGTAATAAGCAAAGAGTATCGAGCTTAGAATAAACTCTCGCACTTTGTTTGCAAAAAGGAAAATTGTACTGTTCCGATGGTTTGAGTTGCCGCCGCTGTCACATACACAATGCCGTTCGTGGACGGGAGGGATTCGCCCGATTCACCTTTCACCAAGACAAAGCCCTGAGTCTCGGTTGAATTGCGAAACCATGTAACGTTGAGGTCAGCATCTACTGTAACTGTCGATGGTAAGGGAGCGATGCTAAAAGTGTTCGCAATTGTTATGCATAAAGCCAGCGCAGTCCTTTGGCAATCGAGATCAGCTAGATTGAAATTAGGAACGTGAGAACTTACAGGAAAAGCGACCACATAGCGAGAGTTCAAGGCGGATAGCTCTGTCAACAGCTGAGGAATTCTATATAAGAGCCCGGGTGACAACGCCGCCAGAAGCGCAACACAGCAATACTGAGGCGTGGATCAACGGCGCCACTCCCAGCTGAGGTGCGATACATGGATATCAATCACGATTCACGTACGAGGCGATGTGCATTCATTCGATCTAATGTGTGGGATTGTATGAGAGTCCAATTATAGTTCACGAGCCAAAAATGACCGGTCTTCGAGTTTTTAGTCAAATGTGCATACCGATTGCGCCCCAGCTTAGATAGGGTTGGACGTAAGTCGCCCAGAGTGATTGAAATCCCGGCTCTACTTATTTACCGACTGGTTACCATGGGGTGACAGCTATCATCGTATTGGTAGATAGCCTGCCGTAAACAATTAATGTTTGATCATTTACATCCATCACTGTACTTCGAGAAGTTCTATACTTCGAAGTTGTATTGTCTTCTTGCCGCCTAGCAGATTGCCTCGCGCCATAATACCTGACTCGCAACATACTACATACATTTCATGGTGGGTCTCAAGACTAGCTTTTATTATAGTTATTTGTATTGCAAAGTTGGTCCACTGCCGAAAGATTGATATAGTCGAGGCAGTTGCACAAGCTCGACAGTTGAGGAAACACCTTGACTGAGCAGTAAACAAGAAAAGAATAGAAATAGAACCTAATATAGCATAGTAGCACTGTGACCACCTCTCCGGGTGATGCCAGCCCCACTAGGGAAGCCACAAATTTGTTCTAGAGGTAGTTGAATGAAAACAAGGCAGACGTAAATATGATGCCCTCTATCAGCACTGTGATATCAATACTAAGAGGTGCTACTCACGCTATAAGCAACTACATCGGTACCAGACCCACTGGGTAGTTGAGACTACCACGGCCGAATTAACATGGACGGTGAACGTCCCAAAATAGAGTAGATCTACCTTTGTCTTCAAATACCGTCCGAATATCGTGACGTCTTTCCAAGATCAGGAGATAAAGGAAAGAGAGGATATCAACATGGCCTCGCTGAAGCTGTGCCCTGGAATGAGTCGTTTGATCCAGAAACACACGAGAGAACATATGCCAGCTCCAGGGAACCCTTCTTCGAGAACTCGGTGCATTCGTATGCTTGACACCCTTGAATGATCTTACCTCTGATTACTTCAATAGAATGGGTAGTTGCACAGACGAGGAAGAATGGAAGGAGGTGATGTGCTGGAGGTTGAACTTGAAGGTTCTATTTACGGCAGATCATAAGTCACAAGGCGGAAGCTGATGGGTGTAACTCAGTGACCTCACTAACATGATCGATAACGCTCCTGCCGAACCGAATAAAGGTATGTGCTGCATGGGACAGGCAGATACAAAGCTGTAGTTCACCTCAGTGAACTGTTCGGTTATGATGATGTGGTACTTGCAATGACACCTGCAAAGGGAACATCTGCACCGTGCTTTGTAACGAAGAACGAACAGGTAGGTAGATCTCCCTCAAGGATGGTATTCTTGAGTATCTTCACAGCCTCAGACCCAGTATTTGTGACGGTTGCAGAGAATATGAGACCGTCTAAGATGGCCGGGAGGACCGCTGATGTCCACAGAAATGCTGATCACCACCTCGATAGCCATCGCGAGCGAAGCGATTAGAAGATGAAAGTATCATGAACCATGACATAACCAGGAAGAAAGAAAACCGTCACCATAAATGTGATACTCTCAGCTTGCAACGGTACTAATCTTGAACATGACAGGAAGCCGAGACGCAGAACCAGCCCGGCACCCTTGAGGGGGTTGTTACCATCAAACATAGGTATACCAGAAATGCCCTAGGTCTCCATCATCCCACAACAACGACTTGAGATTGATTGGGAGGATCATATGTGGTACGTGCCAGTAACTCCCTATTTCAGCCGTTGGACGATGGACGATGGTATGAGAAACAGCAGTGATGGACAAGGTCATATGTATACCAAAAATGGTATCGCCCTGATCTGCCATGCAGTTTCCGTGCACGACGACGCACCAATATCCCTAGTTACACTGTCAGTATGCCTGGAAAACATTATTTGATAGACCAGAGACAAATAGATCGATTGTGAAGTATTGAAAATGTTGCGTATACTATACGTAGCATTTACATGTATTATCTGTGGAATATGGTGAAATGGTCAAATCGAAAACAATGATACTGGCTTGTTGGCAGTAACACTACCTGTGCACTGAGGCTCAAAACTAATCTAATCCCGGCGACACTGACCTCAAGAAATGCGACTGGAGATCGATAAGGTCTCGGGGAACCAAAATAAATGTCTCGGGAGGGAGTCGAGCCCTCGGCTTCTCGGAGCTGCGTAAATTGTGCCACAACGAGATGCTTTAACCACTAAGCGACCAAGACCAGTGAGAGCCGAGGCTTATGGTGACTCGCAGCTCTCCCTCAGATACGATCAAAAATTTGTTCGCTCGTATATTCTAATCCTCAGTCCGAATTACGGGGTACACGCGCTCCACCACCTGTCATTGAACCCTCTATTCCGCCTATATATTCCGATGCCATGAGCTGGACGTGCCAACACGGGAAAAGACGATACACACCAATAGCAGCACCAGCAATACCTCCAACTAAACTGCCACCACCACCAATCATACCAATCAATCCAAGCACGGTCGTACCTCCTACACCGCCCAAGACGTAGCCCAAAGGTCCACCAGCGTTCCCTTCGCCTGGGTTGTCGATGATACCCCATCCTGTCCTTCTTTGTGCGTTTTGGCGAGGTGGAGAGTTGGCTGGTGTGGATGCGGTTGAGGTCTTCTTGTACCGACCAGTGGAAGCGGAAGATGGTGGAGATAAAATCTAAAGAGCGTCCGTAAAAGTGAGAACCAAAGACGTAGCAAAACAGAATCGTACCTTCAAGAACGGATGACGAATGAACTGCGCTGCCGTAGGTCGAGACACTGGATCGGGACTTCATTGACATCTCAGAACTAATACGAAACGCAATAGGGAACAACATACTGCAGCATCAGTCCCAGGAAGGAAGCGGTCTTTTCTGCTGAACTTTCAGAGAAACGATACTTCTCCCGAAGCACCGCCTCCAGGGACCACGGACTGAGGCTCGAAATGTTGATCAAGTTGCCTGTAACTTGGTGTTGATACACGAAGAACACTGAGAGTGCAATGAACTTACCACTTTTATTGAAGAATGTCGATGATTGAGTAAGAGATAAGGGAAGAGGCCCCAATAGTTCGATAATTTGGGCTAGATGATCCTCGTTCTGTGGTGTTTGAGAACGTTGGTTAGCGGTACGATGACGAAGTTCGAGCAAGTACCTTACTGTACTTGCTTCCGCTATGGGGATTGAAAAGATGATCGCCACCAGTGAGGAGCTCAAAGATCTAGCCGGCCGCCCATGAACGAGGAGAAGAGGAAACAATTGGTGATGCGTACTATACAACCAAGTGACCATATGTCGATGCTTGGGTTCGGAGAGTTTGAACAATCAAGTATGGACTCCGGTGGTGAGTATAGAGAAGCTTGCTGTTTGGAAGGAGAGGAGCCTCCAGATATAAAAATAGCATGTCAGAGATGCTCATGGATATTGAGGCTAAGCATACCGCTCTCAAAGTTGCCGATCTTGACAATAATCTTCTCTGCCGTGTAACTTGCGACGAATATGTTCTCAGGTCTGATATCTGGTAACGCGATTGATACATAGGCGACAGGGAAGGATGAAATCAGTTACCGCCATGGACTACCCCGCAACACCGATGTAACCAATCCAGCGCCGAAAGCAGTTGTGTGGTGATCTGTTTGATCAAATTAAGCGGTGGGGCGCGTGGCTTGTGATGTTTGACCAATCTTTAAATGGGAAGGGCTTAGTAGATGGAGAATTAATGAATCAAATCAGTACTCAGGAAGATCGTCATCAAATGCTTCGAATACAACACAGATCTGGGTGCCATTATGTCTATCCGAGGGGTGAGCTTGGTTGAGTGAAGCCACAAGTATTTTCACGCACCGAAAGTAATCTAGTACCTTTGCAACGTAAAACCTCCCCTGATGTTCACTTCCGCCTGAAGCCAGTCTTCTGAGAATTTCGGTTACTTGGGAGTATGACGCTAGTTTGATTGATACATTTCGAGAATTTCTGTAAGCGTCTTGATCAGGAACAAGTGGTCAAAATATGAGCTGAATTCTCACCGCGAATCGCTGGCGATCCAAACGGAATTGGAGTGTCGTCGTGTAATGCTGTATCGTCCTGCGTTGAGGGTATCGCCAATTTTGAATGACTGGGGACTCGTTGACATGATATTGCGTGACCTATCGTAGGCGCGGAGAATTGAGAGACGAGGAGTACAATACAGTGGGGAGTACTCACGATATCAAGGGAGAGATGGGGGAGAAAGGGAAGCAAGCAACGGTGACGATGGTTTAGCGCAACTTGTGATTTCGCTTGTGCCTGCCGGGCGTACTGTACGTAAAGACAATGAAATCATAGCACGTGTCATAATGTTCTTTTTGCTTGACGACGGACACGAGTAGTACACTTGTCGTTGCTCCCCTCATCGTATACCAAATGCTCAACTTCCAACTCCCTTAAGATGAATAGTGCACTGGTAGACGGCAGACTGGTGAAATTGGGACTTCCTTCGGATAGATGGGGTACGTCTCTATTAAACTGTCCCGCGATGCTTCTCATCAGTGGATTCATCAGCCTGCCCTCATGCACCTCGTGCAGTTTAATGAAAGCGTATTCTTTCCTCTCTGCCTTCTGACACCTACGTTTTCATCGGCTGGCTCCCCCTCTAATTCAATAGCAAAGCATGACAAACCAACCGCACGCACGATCCTCACTCCCAGCATGGTACATTATCCTGTACTTGCTCACGTATTGGATCGCCATCGAAATAAAACCATCACAGTTTCGACAACTATGCTTGATTCCCCTCGTCTTCGTCTTGTACAGAGTCATCTTTGTGATGACTCTCGGGAACGTAGTCGCAGATTATGCACTGGTGCTATACTTCGTTAGCTTCTTCCTGAACGCATTTGCGTGGAGTGTAATAGACAGCACGCCCATTGAGACGGGCACCGGAGATGCAATGGATGGGAAAGGGCACACATCATTTAGTTCGCGGATAAGGACGTCCTTCAAGCTCCTTTGTACCCCTCGAGGCATCGGATGGTCTCACGAACCCAAATCTGCTATATCCCCATCCCCTGTGGCGTCAACAAAACCTATATCGTTCGTGATGAAGCAGATAATCACCGGATCCATCAAATTCTTCCTTCTCGATGGGCTAAACGCCTACTTAGGGCTCATACCTGCCTTTCACGTCGGGGGGCCATCCATCGCCGATACGACCTTCATTTGGAGATGTGTCAACACCGGAGCGTTTGCGATATCTGCTGCCACGTCTATGTCAGCGATGTACGATATCACTTCAGTAGTCTCTGTGTGTTTAGGACTATCAAAGCCTCACGAGTGGCCGCCGCTCTTTGGGAGCGTTCGATATGCTTCGACTATCCGCGGATTTTGGGGGTAAGCTTTGAGTTGTGATTGGTTCTATTCTTTGAGACCTAAGCTACTAGTTTCAGACGTACTTGGCATCAACTCTTCCGTCCAGTAAGGGCTCCGTACATCCTCAAAGTCCCGCGTTCCTTGCTCATTCGTGCTTCTTCAGATGATCCTGCCATACGGTCGATTCCTTGCCTCTAGGACCTTTCGCTTTGACCGCGGGAGCGTGTCATATAACCTCGTTGTGTGCTACACGGCCTTCTTTCTATCGGGTGCGATACACTATCTCGGTGACATAGTGCTTCATCGCAGCTTCACGACCTTTCAAAGTATACTTTTCTTTGTGCTCCAAGCCATGGCGATCACGGTGGAGTCGGGTGTGATCCATGCATTCGGAGATTATTCTGGGAGGTGTCGATTTGTGGGGTACTTATGGGTGGTTGGATGGCTCATATGGTGTGCACCCATCTACGTGGATCCGCTATTTCACGCTGGATTGTTGGATTATTCGCCGAGAGTCAGTCTGGTTGCTAAGATTTGGAAATTAGATAACTAGGTGAGGTATATTAGTTTCTCCAAAGCACGCATCACTGAAGATTTATCTCAAGGGCATTATATTAACGATTCGTGCTGAGTGTACTCTATCAGTCCGAAATTTGACAGTAGCAGATGAAATAACAAGCAATTACGGCTAAGAAACTGAAGATAGGCTAATCCCGAATGAAAGAGGCAAAGTTGTTGAAGGAAAAATATGGTCCGGGACCAAAGGCAAGTATATCACCTGTCGCTATGAATGCCTTGGTAACAAGAACACCAATCGGTGCATTTACTCTGGGAGATCAACGATGCTACGGCCTTCGCCTGTGCGTTTCCAATAAGGTGGGCCAGGACGTACGTGACTGTCCTTAGAACCTTCCGTGGCGTCATCCCCGGAATCACGTTTCCAATACGGGGGCCCTGGACGAACAGTATGCCCCTCGTGGCGTGCCCAGTACGGTGGCCCTAGACGAACGGCGAAGATGTCTTCTGTTTTAGAGGCGGAGGTATTGTCAAGCTAAGACACAATGGCTTTAGTAGTTTTTTGAGGAATTGAGGACGATGACGGCCGCACCTCGACGTCTTCAGTACGGAAGTTCGACTTCCTGTTTTCAGGCTGCGCAGGCGTATTCTGCACAAGGAATCTCAGATCAAGAACGTCGATTACGAGGATTCTCCCGCGAGTGAACGTACCATAGTCATTGGGAGCCCACTGGCATGCAGGAAGAACATGGTTACAGAGGCAACGGTAGAGATTCGCATAGTCGTCTAAATGAAAAATGCTGGGATGTCTGATGACCACAAGAAAGAGATACCAGTACAAGGGCAGTAAGGTAATGATGCACTTACTAGTCAAATAGGGCATTACTTATATCTCATTCTCTCGCTTGCAAGTTCACTGTAAGGAATAAGATGGACCATGAGATCGGTATCATGCACAGTGGATGAGATCGAACCAAGGACAACGTGTGTGAGAGGCATCTCGCTTTCGAATTTGACAAGTGAAGTATGTCACGCTAGTACTTTCGCGAACCACGGCGAGGAACTTCCGCCGATGAGATTGAACCGTGACCGACACGCTCATAGCCTTGGTACTGTAGCTGGTGCGCAGTGAATGTACTCAGCAGAGCTTGCAAGTGATCCGTGAATATGACAGCACAACACAAAAGTATTCAACTCAAAGAGATCGTGATATTACGACGAAGGAATATTAGACAAACTCGGGAGTGTATTGAATAGATACAAAAACCCCTGGAGATCTTTATAAATTTCGGAATTGTACAACTTGCTAGTCAAGATCAAAGCCTAATGTTAAGCCACAAGTTGCGTGAATAGTATCAG